GCAGGGTTTCAAGGATGCGTTTCGCTGCGGGGTGAAGGGTTTTGTTAGGGTGTGTTGACCGTGAAATGGTGCACATTTTGACGGACAATAATTGAATTTCAAAGTTAGTCTGCCCTCCCTCCCACTATGCACATCCCCTCCCGCTAAACATCTGTGCATCACGCATCAACCATCTGTCCCGCCCGACTTCCCCTCCCTCCCTCCTGCTATCTACACACCATTCACAAAAGGGTTGAACTCCTTCGTCTGGACGGATTTGTGTTCTTTGGTGATCTCATCCGTCTGCACTTCTTTGCTGATCTTGATATCGGGACCGAAGATAGATGCACATTTGAATGCGTTTGATGAGAAGAAATCTTGCGTCGGTGTCTTCGGCTGCTGCTTCGGCTTCTCATAGTTCAACCTCGTCCTCTTCTTTTTCTCCTCGTCCTCAAACTCTTCCTTTTTGTAACCGAAAGGATTGGCGTGTGTATCCATGTATCCCTTGCCATCATAGCGTTTGACGCGTTTCATAGGGTCTTCTCCTGACATGGACGCCGGAACAACGACGAAAAGGCCGATGTGTATCCGCTTTGGCTCGGATAGATTAGTTTCACGAATGGATTAAGTTTCACGTACATATATAAAACTAATTGATATATTATATAAATAGAGGAGGTGAGAATAAACAAACCTTACAAACTACTACTCTTAAACCACCACCTGAATTGACACCCGAATATACAACATTAAGTCTCATACTTGAAGACGAAAACTTTCAATAACTCATTGAAAGTATAATCTTCTTTTACAGTACTATTAGTAATATATGAGAATTAATAATGACTATCAGTATCGGTAATAAAAAATGGTAATGATGATTGTTGAAAGTATGGATAATGAAAATTAATTTCAGTATTCAATAATGAGTATTCATCATTATCTTCTTTAGTTAGTCCTATGATATATCAGTATTACCACTTTCAAGTGCATAGACTTTAATGAAATAATAACCTGATCTATTGAATTTAAAACTTTTATTGTCGTCTTCATGCAGCGTTATGACATCGTAATTGAAATACAACAGAGATATACGCATGTGGATACATGATTAATGGTCAGTATAATATGGACAAAGGTGAAGGTTGTTTTCAGGTATTTGTCAATAAGATCAAATATTTATCTGATAAAATTATAACAGCATATAGCGGTTGCAGATTTGATTTCCATTATTTACTCTCTTATTTGATACACGATGGCGTTGAGATAAAAAAACTTATTGTTAACAGCGGAAGAATTATGGGGTTTGAGTTTGGTAATAATAACAAAGTATTTGATATTAATCTATTTCTTAACACTTCTTTGAAAAAAGCATGTGAGGATTTTAAAATTGGTAAACCAAAAGGGGATTTTGATCATGAAAAGATTAAAATATAGGACGATGTGAAGCAATGGGAGTGCGAATGGAGACCGTATTTAAAAAGAGATGTTGAAGTATTGATGGAACTAATTGAAACGTTTGGTCGTCTTGTATATGATAAGTATCAATGTAATATTACAAGATTTATGACAGGCAGTCAGATGACTTGCGATTTATGGCATTCACAATTAGTATTAGATGATTTTACTTATTTGCCAACAGAAGAGGAGAACAGAGTTAATAGAGAAGCGACAAGAGGTCCACATTGTCTGCCTCATATCAAAGACTATGTAAGTAAGTTGTACAAATTAGTTGAAGCATTAAATTGTGTCAAAGAGTTTGATAAAAAACAAAGCATAAAGAAAAAGATGGATATATTAAGTGAAAGAGTAAATAGAGGAATAGTAGAAATTAACCAAAAATCTTCTCCTTTCCTAGTTATCATTCTATAAGTTATGATACATATATGTCAAGTGAATATAAGAAAATGCAAGAGAACTTTTATAACTACATCCAAGAAAGTAAAGATTATATGATCTGCATTGATGTCAGCAGTCTATATCCAACAGCAATGGCAAAATGTGAGTATCCGGTTGGAAAACGCAGAAGATCGCTTAATCAGAAGCAAGAGTTTGAAAAAAGCACAATAGGAATATACTATATTGAATACACACCACCAAGTAATATCAGAGTTCCCATATGATGCGTAGTGGACCCCTCGCATCGATGTTGTATATGTGGATCTGTGTTGCGAGTCCCGTCTATCCGTCCGACAAGGTGTGTACGAACCGGAAAGAAGAGCAGACAGACTGAAGGACGCATACATGGAATGAATGGATGTGTATGGACCGTCTGCCGCGCACGCAACCGACCTGTATGTGGGTGTTCCCGCATCCACGTGACCACCGCCTCCGCATATGTGTGCAGCCGACGGCCGCGTCTACCATATATGTGAGCACAAAGTGTTTGTCTTGCTCGCGCCATGTGTATTTCGACGGATGTGTTGCGTGTCTGTCGATGGGTGCGTGCGAGTGACTGACTGCCTGTCTGCCTGGATGGATGGATGGATGTGTGTCTGGATAGATACATGGATGGGAGCCGATGGATGGGCATGGGAAAGAGAGAGATGTGAATGTGTCTTTGTCCACGGAGGAGAAGCGAGCCCTTACATGACATGAATGATGCTGTCTGTAGCCGTCATGGTGTAGCGTG